CAACATGTAAAAACTACTGCAAGTAAAGAATGTTACTGATTTATACTCTTTCAATATTGAAGATAGACAAACTGTCAAATCAAACCATGATCTATTTTTCTTTTATTTTTCCTTTTTTTAACATGCCATTCTAGATCTGTAATTTTCAAGTACAGATATAAAAAGATCTGAACTCACACTTTTAAAAACTGTAAAGGATTTTGTTGTTATTGTAGTATCGTTTGTTATGTAATTGGGCTGCAGTCTCTTCCACAGCTATTTTTTTTTCCGACTGTGCAATATATATTTACTCTGTAGGATGAAGAGAAATGAGATTGTTCTTTTGTCTGCTTCTTCTTTTTCATTGCTAACATCTGTGTGTAATTGTCTGTGTGTATGTCACTGTAATACCCAAATTTGCGAATTTGCAAAATTATAATTCTTAGCGCTGAAAGTAATTTTAGTTTTACTAACTGCTCTTAAATGAAAATGTTCATGATCAATATGCAAAGCTGGTGGCACTTTCAGAGATGTTCATAACTAGTTAAAATATGATTTTCCTCTGTTCTTTTATAGATCAGCACATTATCATATTTAACACATGTATAGATGTAAATATGAAGTTGAATCTAAATTAAAATCTTTGCCCATTTTAGTAATTGTAAGTACTTTTAGGTAGCACAATGAGCTGTACCAAAGGTCCTCTAAGGACTCTAAGGCTATGTTCACACTGCAGGCCTTGATGCTCAATTCCGATTTTTTTTTTGTGAAATCCTATTTTTTTGCGTTGCCTTTCACACTTCCAAATATATGCGATTTGTATGTGATCTCCTTTGTAAACTGCATTTATACAGCTTAAGTGTCCCGCATGCGCAGTAGAGGATGCAATGCGTCACAAGCCAGCATGCTCTGTGTTTATGGAGGTAAACATGAATAGTAGTGCCGGAGCGCATCTAGCGATCTTTCCAAACCTTTAAACCTCAATCTTTTCAAGATGGTTAAAAATAATACTGCTCTTCGCATCATCGTCCACCATAGTGTTTGTTTTCTTGCTGCTTCTGTGTAGCAAGAAGAAGAATAGTGACCTATGTCGGTTACTAATGTTATTCAGGTCGGATGAATGTGACCTTGCTGTTCAGACACAGGTCGCATTTGAAAGATCAGATTCGTATCGAATCCAGGACCACATAGCCAAGCGGCCTGGGTCAAATTGGAAAAAATCGGATTTGAGTTGTTCAGACTGTCATGAAAAGATCATATCCAGGTCGCATGTGGGCCAAAAAAATCGGATTTTGGTCACTTCAGGCTGTGAATGTAGCCTTAGACAACACCCAATTACAGCTTTGCATCTATGCTTTATAACAACAGCATTATTACGCTTTACATTTTTGAGAATAATTTTTGAATCTACTGATTATCAAATACGTTTGATTATTGAGAAGACATTAAATTTGCTTCTTTACTCAAAGTTAGATCCTTTATGTAGCCTCTGGCTAAAGCAAAAGTGCTCACTTGCCACACAAGATCATACGAGAGGTACAAAAGACTCCTTTCAGCTCAACACCAGCTCTATGTTTGTAGCTGTATTCACATCTTTCAAACCGATGCCTCAACAGACTGCATGGGTAATCAACAGGGTCCTTTCATTGTCAGTTCACAAAAGCATTGATTTAATCTTTGAGGCATCATATCATTGGAATGAAGTGACTGTTCTCATTAGGAATTTCTGATTTGAGGCATGATACCCAAAGGGTCCAATGATATGAAAAAAAAAGTTTATAGATGTGACCTTGACAAAACCCAAAATATTGAAAAAAAAGACTGTAACTCTTGTTTCTGGAGAGGGGATGAGTCGGTGAAGACAATGAGATGAGCCTCAGCTTGGCATTTAGGTCGATGGGCCAACAACGCCTTTAGTGTTGAACTGAGATGAGCTGATAATGTGGCTGACAAATGATGTGTCCAGTCAGTCGGACTGTCTGCTCAGCAAATATGCACTCAGTTATATTCCATTCACTTCAACATGACCCTGGGCCGTGAACCCAGTAAATCAGCTTGACTCTGCACAGTTCATGATAAATGTGTTTGTTCATAAGATAGAGTAAACGCCATGTCTATTTGTCAATAAACAATATGAGTTTTCAATACTTATCAATTACTGAAATAATCAACAATTTAGGAATCGATTATTCAAAAATGAGAGTAAACTGATTAAAATATGCCATCTGTTGAAGGACAACCAACAGACAGCTAGAATTCAACCAAAACTGACAGAAATATGCATGCTTTCATATAAAAATTGAAACCCGAATTTGTCTGTTCACATTTCCTTTGCTCTTGAAAGGGCAAAATTTTAACATCATTGGGTTAAAATTCTGTCAAAATATCTTATATCATTCCTTTTCTCCCATCTATTGATTAATATATCGAAAAAATAATCGTCATTCATTGATTAGAAAAATAAGCCTTATTTGCAGCTCTAGGTAGGATATAAATTACATTTTAATTAGAGCAAAACTATGTTTCTGTTTTTCTTTTTACACTTAAGTTAATGTTACTTTGTGCATTTTATCCGATCATTTTAGAAATGTCCAGGTCATGTTCTATCAGAGTCCTTGTAATGGCAGATTTAAGTGGTCAAAAACAAAGTCCACGTACTTTTTGAGATCTATACAAAAATACATTTTGAAAAAGGCACATCCCACACTTCCTAAAATAACAAGGCTGTATTATGCTGAATATCAGATCCCTGACTAAAAAAAAGTATAAAAGAACAACTTGGTTGTCACATTTTAAAGAAAAGACTGTGAGACTACCTCCTAACCCCCAAGATCCCAGCTTGTGACACCGCTTGCCACCAGCTTTATATATTCTTAATCAATTTCCTAGAAATCTATTGGCTCCGACTAAAGGGTCCATGGTTGAACCTTGGGATTCTGAAGATTTATTCTTTCAAGTATTTGACACAAATTCAAAATTCATTTTGAATTGAAAAAGCTTCCTGGGTGGGAAGCTACACGTCTTCAAACTTGGAACTTAGATTACCATGACCTAGATGACTGAGAATCTTCACCGGCAAACTGAAACAAGGTTATTGTTTCATCTGTTTGTACTACTTTAAAAACTGCAATGTTTTTGTTGCTGTATGAGTTTTTTAGTTTGTATTTTCCCCAAAACAATGTGTTACACCTTGCCACCCTGTCTCACTTCCTATCTAACTCATGACACCCCCATCACATTGCCGAGTATCTTCAACCTAAATAGACCATCTTGGTCGTACACTATGAATAGCAGTCATAGGGAAATGTGAGTGGTCCGCGCTGCCCCATACTTCAATGTGTTATAGTCACTACTCACATATAGCAATCTATATTTAATTCTTTTTTTTTCTTTTCTTTTTTGATTAAGTGTATTTTGGGGGAAATACAAAATAGGTAGTTATGAGCCTGATCTTCAAAGTTTCAAAATAAGGGATAGGGATGCAGACTTTAAGGTGAATATGTCCCATTACAAGTTATGTGATGGTTTTTGTTTTTCTTGTGGCTGTTACTGTTCAGTTTTATTATTTATATTTAAAAAACAATTATTGCATTTATTGTCTACAGTTCTGCTGTATTAATCTGTGCCACATAGACATTTTTTCTACTATTACTAATCTTTTAAACTTTGCACACTTGCACAGAATCGCTAATTATGCAGTGAGCATCTTTAAAGAGATCGACTCGGTGCGGTTGGAGTCAGACCACGGCAAGATTGCATCATTGCACCATAGTGGTGTAGAAGTAGTAGTAAAACAATGAACCAGTAAATAAGCCGTTTTGCCAGTATTACCAGTCTCTTGCATCCCTGCTCTTATCTAATTTCCTTTACTATTCTTTGAATGTATCAAGGTTGAGTTAAAATATCTAGTTTTTCTTTTTTTTTTTTTTTATCAGTGCATATATTTATTACTGCTGTTGATTAACCATGTGGATAGATTGTTGTGTTACCAAAAAGTCTAGAAAATTAAATCCACAGTCTGTACCTGTAGCTTTTACTTGTAAAAATGACTGGTTCCTCTTTACTTTTCATAAACTGACTTCCTGCTATAGATTGATGGGCAGATGGAGCAGCAGGCAGCTAAAATAGAACAGCCGCCTATTTCAGAGTAACTGCCAGGTGCCTGCACGTCTGGGACGTTTCAGAAATGCACCATGGTACACCCGGTGAAACTAAGTGATTGACTACAATTGCTGCAATCAGCTGGGACAGCATGGCGGAGCCGCAACACGTTGCCTTTACACCCGCTGAAACCATGTGGCTACAGTCCAAATGTGACAAATGTGCACAGACCATCTTTGTGTCACTGTACCAGTTCCTTCTTTCTGGTAAAAATGACTGTGAATAATTTGAGTTTTTGGCGCTTGACTTTCAAACATGCTAAATATGAAAAGAAAAAATATGAAAGTCGTCTGTTTCATATATGATCAATTGCTTTGCATCTGGTAAAGAATTAGATATGCATTGCCACAAAGTATTTTTAAATTTGTCATAATCATATGATCTGCATATTACTGAGAGTTGCGCCTGCTGTTCTGCTCATTTTACACACTTAGTCGCATTTGCACCTGAATTGTAAACCTGCCTTTCACATGCTATCGCATGTGCATGTGTTTTTATATGTGCATACCTTTAAAACATCAGGCCCTAAGCATACAAGGTGTAAGGCATAAACAGGTATTCACGGCGTTTATGTGTGTTGGAAGGTAGAGACTGGTAAAAGTTACTTTCAGTGAAGGGGGGACCATAACTTGGTAACTAATAAGAATGAGTAATACTACTGCAATAAAATCTTGAATATAAAAAATTTATAAAATCTACCTTTATTAACTATTCAAAATAGAGATTCTAAAGTATCTGCCCTTTTCTAGGGTACATATCAAATATGATATACATGCTAAGACGAGTACAAAATAGGAAATGAATTATACTGTATATTTTAACAGTATATTTTAGTAAAAATAGAACATATAATAACTTACATTTGCAAACAGTATCGCTGATAGAGGTGCACTCCTGCAACACCTCATCTTCCTCATCACACGTTGTACAGGGAATACATGGGTCCCTGTAATTATCCTGGTCAGAGAAAGTGTCGTCGGTGCATTCCTCGCACACTGTGTCATGGTCCGACTCACACTTGTACAACATGCCCTGGCCTTCGGGACATTTGGTGCAAGCTTCACACCTTTGAGTGACCCTGTTTAGATAGTAGCCGTAGTTGCATGTGCAAATGGCATCGTTGGTATCGGTGCAGGGCGTCTGCATGCGGAGCAGTCCAGTACATTTTGTACAAAGCTTGCATTTTTCAGTGTGGCTGAAGCTCTCTGAGAAAGTTTCACCTGAAAGAAGAGTACAAAGAAAAATGTATTAACTATTACAGATACTACACACAATATAGTTGAAAATGATTTTAGTATTACAATAACTTGCCTACAAAACTACTAAAAAGAGATTAAGAAAACAAATTTGTAAATGTCGACCACCATATAGAGCAACCTCTCTTTGGAATTTAATTTGTTTTGACTTGCCTCCTTGTGATTAGAACCTATATCTGGATCACAGGTTTCTTTAGTCTCTTTTGCTTTAGCTTAATAAAACAATTCTTAAAGCGGTGCTAAATAACTTTCAGTTGTAGTCGTTTTTGGCTACCTCAAGTGGACAACAGCTGTATTGTTTTGCCTGAAGGAAGACAACTGCTAAGTTCTAATTCATGGGATGCATCCTACGAAGGCCAGATTCGTGGGCCGATTACTTCATAGTGCGGCACCGAGACCTGTTTGGATTGGAAGAGTCCTTGTTATGCGGCCGACAAATACATCCTTCTTTTTTGCACGTTTTGAAGGAAGAGTCCGGTGTATCCTACGTAGCCTTGGATATCTCGTGAATCATTGCGAGTCCATGCAAGCCGGCTTCTCTGTGCTCAGAGGTAAAAGATACTTGGCACCCAATACTGGAGAATACTGGAAGTACAGTTTAAAATAATATAATTGTAATTATAATATATAATTCACATAATAGAAATATGTGAATAGTTCCATCTGAAATAAATGAAAATAGTTGTTTTAAATGGTTCTTTAGTCAGATATGTGATGGGTTATGTTTGGTTTATTGAAATTTTGTTTTTTTTATCTGTGCCTCTGTAAATGGGTTTGGCTGATATTTAAGGACAGACTCTACCATACCTGCATTGTTGGGAACTATAAATCTGATACGATGCACTGTTGAAGATCCCCAAAAATGTTATTAACACCCAGAACAGCAGTGAGAAGTTGGGTATTCATTATTTTCCTGTTCTGTGTGTCAATTCTCACGGCTGCGGTAAAAGCTACGGAAGGCTGGAGCTGTTTGAATCAATCAATCATTGTTTTTCAGGTTTACTGCCATCCTCCTCAGAGTTGCTTTGTGCTGGTAAAAGCGATATTAACCCCCCCCCCAGGCCATGACAGATGTGTCATTCAACTAGTTGTAAGACAACATTAACTCAAAAAAAGGTTGAAAAGTATTTATTATAGCTTTATTATTATGCAATAATTTCTAATATTGTATGAGTCTCAGTAAAACTTTTAAATAAACAGCTAAGCACACATTTTCATTATTTCACAATATAATATATTATATTGTATAATATAATATCATGTTATATTATATTCTGTAATATAATTCTTTCTTTCCTTTTTCCCATACAACTGGCATTCAAGTCTGTCTCTAAGGTTTAGATGCTAGATGTTGCTCTATGTACCAGGCTTACAACCTCACCAAACGTATGTCTTTCTCCCTTCCATCTTTGCTGAAATGTTGGTATATTTTAATCTAATCTATACCAGTGATTGAGATTGCATAGCTCACTATCTAAACTGCTTTTGCTTGCATGGATTGCAGCTTTAATTGTTGCACTGGGGAGATTTGCCTATTTGGCAGTACAACACAATTTTTATCTAAGCACTTCATCCCTCCATCCATTTTCTGGCACGCTTCATCCAAAGTGGGGTCGCGAGGGGTGCTAGTGCCTATCTCCAGCTGTCTACGGGCGAAAGGCGGAGTACACCCTGGACAGGTCGACAGTCCATCGCAGATCTATGCACTTCTTCTAGCAGTTTGTACCTGTAACTTGCCACGTCATACCGATGTGCAACCTGCTTTTTTAATAAATATTTACCATGTTTTATATATCAGCTTATCATATCATATACTTTCTTTTGTGTGGATTGGCAATTTGTGCGATTTAAGAAAATTAATAACAGTTAAAAAACTGTTATAAATTCTTTAATGTTCCTTATTATGAAAAAACAATGTATTTAAGTTAGCAGATGCTTTTAATGTAACCAATAATCTTTTGACATAGGTCATCTGATATGTAACATAGTAAATAAAATGTCCATCACTTATTTTCCCCAAAATGCATTCAGTCTTAACAAAATGAACAACAAAATTTTAGGCAACCTGATTTTTGCTTAGTTTTTCTTACACTTGCACCTCAAGAAGGAATAACACACCTCTGAAAACCACAATTTTCAAATTTTGGACAGAGAGGACGGATGGTTTGAAAGGGATAAGGGAAGCCATCTCCGTTAAAAGGGGAAAGAAATCTCTGGACAGAGGGGAACGATTCCAAAGAAGAAATAAGCACATTCATCATGATTCAGACACACAACCCATGCACAACTAAAGACTTCAGCAAACCAGATTGTGGCTATTTCTCTAATTAAGAATGTGCTTTCTCAAATGTGTGGTGACAGAATTCAGTTCAGTTCAGTTTTTTGGTCATCAAAACAAATTTAAATGTATGTCTCAATGTAATACAGTAGACTCCATTTATAGTTATGGACACCTACCAAAAGGGTTCAGGGAGACATGAAACCTATTAAAGCCAATCCCTTTCCCTTTCTTGGATAAGAATTACTGGCAGCATTTATTTGCTTATGCCACAAACCTTTCTAAATGTTCTGGGAGTACAAATGAGGAGAGAGAGAAGAATCTAAACATATAAATGCTTTCTTATGAGCTCATTTTCACTGTTTTCCCTGGTTACCTCAGATATTTTTGTTTTATGAGTTGGTTAATTGACAAAGGCTAGAGTCTGGGTGCCTCAAATTTACCGTAAGCCTGATTTATGGTTTCCATAATCGGATGACTGAAAATTCGTACAGGTATATTAGTAAAGTCTTTAACATAATTTGACTTTAAATATTGAGCTTATCAGTCTTTTTTCCCCCTTGTTTTGGTGTTTCTTACACTTTTTTCAAAATGTTTTAGAATTGCTAAAAATAAGTAACAACAGTTTAGTGAAGTTTTTTATTTTTATTTTAAATGTCTGTGCAACTTAGGCAGGTGTGTAAAAACAAATAATGTTATGGATGTCAGATATATTGGCAAAGGTTTCAATCAATAATTTATGGAGTATGGAATTGTATTTCGGATAGATAGAGAGCTGGGAAATGCACTAAATTATGCAAGAGACCCATTTGTAAAAGCAGTGTGGGTTTAGGGAGGGGGTATATCTGTGTTTTTAAGACTGAACAGCAACAGAGATGTAGTTTCACAAGATATAACCAATGCAAATGTGACTGAATCTTTTTTTTTTAATCTACAGAATCAAATTTCATTTATTAAAGTCATTTATTAAAATCTAGAGGTACAAAGGACACATTGAAACCTCAGAAGGTTTTTAGTTTTCCTTTTATTTTGTTACAGCTGAAAAACATTCTATTGATCCTTTTGGGATGAATAACGTATCTTTGAGTTTAACTGAATTAATATAAAATAAAAACACTTATTAGTAACCAGCTTTAGCCCTTTGTTCCACTTCCATTCTTTTTTGAAGTCACAAAAAATATATTTAGCCAGTATCATATTTTTGTAGCTGTGATTGTCTCTGGAGCATCCATTCTATTAAGATGTGGTTTTGTACGTGGTTATATGATTTTTTCGCTATAATATTTAAGGACGTTAAAATAAAACTTAAAGCAATAAAGGATTAAATAATCTATTTTGCACAAATGTGGCAAATGAAAATCAGTAAAAATATACCCTGATTGTTCTTGTTTCTAATTCTAGTATATACATCTATTATTCTAGTATTATAGCTTCTCTCTGTCAAATGGGATTGCAGGGCTTGAGTGGTAAATGATGATTGTTCCGAATAAATAATTGATAGAAACACTGAAGAAAATAGTACTGCTCATCTTTTCTTGGTATGTTCACTTAATAGATGAGCCAGAAAATCAAGCATGATTAGCATCCTTAAAGGCCAAATGAAAAAACTGGATACATTTTCTCTTGTCTTAGTTATGCTGCAGATGTTATTGATGTAAAAGATGTAGAAAACTAAAAACACATTATTCACCAACCAAAAACATGTTGTTTTTTTTCTTTTAATGCAGAAAAACCAACATTTGCATCGAAATGTTGGTATGTCTGAATATAAAAGAACTTAAACAAATCTGTGGGACCATTATTCCATACATTAGGGCTACATATATCACAATATTTTCTTCAAAAAAGCATTGTATTCAGCCATGCTGTTTTTTTTTTTCAATCAGTTTTCTCTGCAAATGCAACAAATCAATAGCGAATGCTGCCAGAGGATGCAAAGATTTTTTGAACATTTAAACCCCTAAATCAAACTAAATAAGAAGTCTCATCATAAGTAGTCTTATAGTTACTCACTTTCATGCCATGGCAGACACTTTAAGTATTCAGCCTGCCAAGACAATTGAATCTTCATTGCTGCTGACTGAGCTACTGCATAGCATATCATGAAAGCAAATAATATTGGATCATTTGTGCAATATATGCATACCATTTATGAAAATTTCACTGCATAGTGACCATATTTGTTACCTAACAAGTCTTTAAAATAATTTGCGACTTTTCTTTAAATATACCAGACTCCGTGGTTATCATAAGACCATAGTATATATATCCAACTTTATGCGTATGCGGAAAAAAGCAATAAGTACTACATACTTATTCAAGAGGATTTGCCGAAAATATGTAGGTCCATATAGATAGGCTGTAACTACTTTGAGCATTAAATTAAAAATAGCTTTCCATGACAAATCACAATCTTGAGAGTTTGCTTTCACCTTGCGGACAACTAAACCTGATCAGACATTGTAACATTTTTCAGAAACTGATTAAAGGATCACAGCGCTTTTTGAACTTTTTCAGGAATATGCTTAAAAGTCTTTTTGTAAAGGCAGGTAGTAGTTATCTGAATTGTTTATTCTGTTTAATTTATTGTTTATAACTAAACTGAAGACAAAAGAAGGTATTGCAGGAGCTACGGTAGGTATACAGTCTTTAAGTAGTTCCCTAGCTTAGTGTTTTGTTGAAGGTT